TTGGAATAGACAGGTTCGTCTGTAGCACCAGTCTGTTTTACCAACAGTTCCATGCTGACCAAAATATCCAGTAGTCTACTGGTAGCATCTTGGTTGGTGGAGAGCTGTTCTGCTATCTTGCTGGCAGACTGTGGCACTCCAGCAGTATGAAGAACATCAAAGATTCCCAGCTCACAAGCAGTGAATAAACTCTGAGATACACCAAACGCATACAGGTAGGTAAAGAGCTTTTGGGGCACTGGGCCCATACTGGAGCTATCATTGACAGGCTTTGAAGATGCCATTTCAATCTCAAAGAATCACTTTATGCCTGACCATGTGTCTCCACCGTTATATATGTTTTTATGTACGTGTTGAACCAATGCTAGACATCTTGACCTTGGGGTGATGTCCATTCCCTAGTATCGCCGGTTTCTTTGTTTAACGGTTCTGCATGAATTGCTGGCTTTCACTCAGCTGATAAAAGTTTTGGAGTCTCGTTATCTGCTCCACATGGTTGTCAAATACTGACCCAGCATGTGCTGTCAGCCAGAAGGAATTCTATCGAAAACTTGCGACATTCAGTTGATGAACATTCCGCGCGAGACAGAAAATGAAGTCAAGTGAAGGCCAGCAATATGGATACCGACACTAGATAAAACGTTTGCGCATGCGTGCATTTCAGCACGTTTTCTCAGAATTTTGAGTTTGGGAGAGAAAACAAATGTTTGTTTTCTCCAAGGATACAAAAACTTTCGCGAGTATACTTTTGGCAGACCACGATATTGTATTAAATAACACAATATGAAAGAATTAGCCTTTAGTTTCAAGAATGGACACTAAGTTTTGGCATTTTGTGAAGTCCAATTTATCAGGCATGTTTGAAAGTCCAATTTACATATGATTTGACTAATTTGCATAAGGGTTAAGAGCATGCGCAGACGTTTTTCACTCGTGTCATGGATACCATCTTATTCCCAAGAGAATGACGCGTGTTCTGAACTATACGCGCAAAATAGGTAGGTAAAGAGCTTCTGGCACTGAGCCCATGCTGGAACCATTATAGACAGGCTTTGAAGATGCCATTTCATTATACCTCTTCACCTTCGTATGTTCCCTGCTAGCAGAGCCTATTTTCCTTTTGTTTTGGTTGAGAGAGAAAAATAGACTCTGCCGATGTAGGGCGTTATTTCTGTCGCGCATGCTTGGCGTAACTTAGCAACGCTGTCATGATTTTGACAGTCGCTCTCGTCAAACAATGTTTGGCGCCACGGTGTCTTACATTTGCTTATGCGCACTACATGTAATCGGTTAAAAACCGGTTTTAAAACTGGTTTTGTTCGTCCACAATCGTGGACGGCGGTGTATCAAAGGAAACGCTCTACATCGGCAGAGTCTCCTTCCTCCCCGCCTGAAAGAAGGGAGAGAAAGAGAAGAGAGACTCTGCTAGCAGGGAACTTCGTATGCAAATTGCCCACGATTTCAGAATACATGACATTCCCCTGAGAATTGTTCTTTTGTGACGAACATCTTAAAATATTTACAAATTAAATAATCACATGGTCTGAAATGGGACAACAAACAGCGAGGGTAAAGATGTCTGTCTCAGGTCCGAACAAGCAAAAGTTGCAATTAAAAAAAAGAATCACTTGAAGATTGGTTTTCACTTGTGACGGAGTCATTAAATACTTTCCCCTCTAACGTTCTCACGTGTCCCCCTCGTTATAAGAATTCTATTTTTATGTACGTTGTGAACCAATAATAGACCGGCTCTTCACCTTGAGGTGATGTCCCTACACGTCTCATTCCCTAGAGTAAAATTTTTTTGTTTAACGGTTCTGCATGATATGGATACCACTTTAACAAAGAATCTTATCCCCAAGAGAATGACACGTGTTCTGAACTGGTGAGAAAGCAATATATATACGCAAAATAAAGACGTCTATTTCGACGAGACTGAAAGGACGTCATTGAATTGAATTGTTTTGGCACAAATTCTATTTTTAACGCCTCTAATGACAGGCGAAGTTAGGACAGGTGTTTGCTGTTTTCTGATTCCTACCTCGAAAAACTGCAAATGTAGAATAGCAAACAAAATACGATTATAATAGCAAAGAGATTAAGGATATTCTACATCGTGTCCGAAATTGTGTGTTGATGTAAATTATAACAAATATCGTCCTCAAAGCTGCTGCGCGTTGAAATACTGACCTGTGGCTATCCTGAGTAACTGTCTTTTTTGTTTAGACTTTTTCCTACAGGGGATTTCCAGAATTAACTTACAAAATATAAATGTTCATATATGAATCAGATAATTCATACAGAAAACACCCATTATCGAGCACTCGTGAAATCAATAACCCTCAATCACTTATATAGATTAGAATGCATTGAACAGGAAGAGAAGTTCAAGGTTTGATAGCCAAGACAGCATCAAGACTGTTGGTGTGTGTGTACTTCCATTGGACATCCTTAAAACCATGTTTCTCCAACAGCTGCTTGTACTCCAGTCCAGACCTCTCTTGTCCATCACAAATGGCCAACATATACAAGGAGTACAACTGGACGTTCAATGGACCTGATTTATCATCAAACATGAGAACTTCTCCAATTAAAATGCCCCCACCTGTGGAAAAACGAAGGCAGTTATTTTACAAAGTGAAATCAAACTTCTGGGGGTATAGTCAGGGGAGGAAAGGAGAGAGAATGTTTTGAGCTATCATCTGAAATACGCTAAACCCCTCCATTTAATATACAAATTGTAACTGGTTCATCATCATTATACTCAACGTTTCCACAATGTTTATTGTAAATTTGTTGTCTCTCAATGGCTAGTGTTTAGTATTACAAGTAAATCAAATACACTCGAAAGCCTGGGGTGAAGTCACAGTCAGTAACATAATAGAAGCATAAACCTTTAAAACTTTAAAACGCAACAATCAAATGAGGAAATACTTCGCTATTCAGCTATTCACTTTATGTAGAATTAATACTGAAACTATCACATAAGAAGTTAGGTGCACTTGAAAGTTCTCTTGCTTTCTGGTTGATCGAGGGGCGTGCACTATAAGAGCTATAATCATCACGCACGAGCGTTTTAAACCGTATGCGAAATAACGGCTAGTATCACTAGTATTCTAATTTATTATTTTATAAAAGTGCGGTGCTTATAAAACACTTATGAACTGGTAGCTCTCACAAACAATTCACTTTTTATGTTCTGCCAATCCCTGCGTGCTTTGTGCAGAAGGGGCGTCGTTTTTTTATTTCTTTTTTTCTTTTTCTTTCAAAATTAAAATTATTACCTGAAGGAAGACTTTTAAATATACTTGACAACAGAACGTCGATTTTGTCTTCTTTCCAGTCGTGAAGAATATGCGTCAACACGTACAGGTCAGCGGCTGGTAGTGTGGGCCCAAAGAAGTCTCCTGTCACAAAACYCACATTGTTTTGGTTTGGACACTCTTCCATGGAGGGTTTAAAGTGTGGAGACTTCTCAACCACCTCAGGCAATTCGAGCACCGTGACCTTCATGTTGGGATAGAGCATGGAAGTGATGTAGGCAACGTCACCAGTGCCTCCTATAAAAAGAATATTAAAGATACATGAATATGATTTATTTATTACAAGGGATTTTATTGTTCTACCATCTAACTACAGGCAGCCCAAGCTTTATTGTGGACGTTGGTCACTTGAGGTG